ACTGGTAGTCCCTCCACCCCATAGGAACGCATTAAACTCCTTCTGAAGCGCCCACCAGCTTTTTCGGCCAGCTGACCAGCGGATGCTTGGGAAGCGATGTGGATTCGTCGTTAAACGGGGCGCCCGTTAAGCGATGCACCACTGGTATACCTCTTCTTTGCCAAGGCTCTGTCTGCAGCCACAACCTTTAAAGCATGGAGAAGGCCCTCCTCTTCGTCCTGCTTCAGCCGCCTCGACTCTGGAGGCTGCCTGGGCTCGCCTCACAAAATTTGCTCCCCTGTCGTGGTGGGGGTACCTGCTGCTGCTGAGTGCGCCTTTTTTTGAGGGGAGGCCTCAGAAGTAGGTTGCTGGACCTCCGTGCATGTGTTTGTGTGCATGCACACCTGTAGGGGGGCACTCCATTCTGTTTAATTTTGCAGGTCCCGATGGGGGCTTTTCTCCTTTGGCAAGGCGATCATGTGAGGTTTTATTTTTTAAAAATCTGATGCGGCCCAGCCTCACCCAGCCTCTGCCTCCAGCGGCCCCCTGGTAAATTGAGTTTGAGACCCCTGCTTTAAAGCATGGAGAAGGTGCCTTCCATGGGAGCTGCAAAGCATTACAGCAGGGTAGATTCTTGAGACACACCGTCGATAGAACCTAAAGAAAAAAACAAGGGGGTTTGGGACTGGTAGTCCCTCCGCCAAAATAAGTTTCTGTACAGGGTGCTGCTCAAAAACTACCAGTCCCACCATGCCTTGAGGCTCCCCTGCAGGCCAGCCTCTCCTAGCCACCCTCTCCTTCTTCAGTGTGTAAATGGGGAAGGTGCTAAGGAGCCTTTCTGAGATCTTCACCTGTGAGTGATGGAAAACACCTCAGAGGATTTGGATTTCCCGCCTAGAGAGGTCCTACAATTCTGGCTGAGGGAGTTCCTGGTGAACTTTGTGGGTTGCAGTGCCAAAAATAGGAAATTCCTGACCAATACGAACGAGGCAGCCTCATGCAAGGACCCACACGGTATTCTGGAAATCCCCGCAGAAATCAATGTTACATCCATGCACAAAGGTGTATGGGTGTTATATTAGCCATATGGTGATATTCAGCTGTTTCAAAAGGCAATACAAGACCAGGACCAGATGTGGCATCTTGTTGGTTCTAAGCACCGCATCCTCTTCCACTGGTTGATTACTGAAAGACTGAGGCAATGTGTCGGTGGCTGGAGGATAGCATCATTTGTGATAGTGCACGTGGTTTTACCTAGTCATGTGGTGCATTGGTGAAGACATCGGGTTCTGGCTTCCTTTTCCCAGCTCGGTGGCACACGAGCCGACATGAGACATCTACGAAGCCACGCTGAATAAAATATCACACTGAGCTTTATTAAAGCATCAGGCCACTGGGACATGCACAATCTATTACAAACAGAACTAGCAACAGGTTTTAAGAATTAGTAAACTACTCTTGTTCCCACCTAAAACTTCTATCTGTCCATGGCTCTGAAGAGCTGGCTAAATTCCCAACTACAGTGGTGCCTCGGGAAGACGAATGTAATTTGTTCTGCGAGTAGTGCTGTCTTGCAAAAAGCGGTTTCCCATAGGAATGCATTTCAATGCATTCCTATGGGAACCTTGCAAGACGAATGAAATTTTTTCATCTTGCGAGGCATCGGTCTTGAAAAAAAATCGTCTTGCGAAGCACAGCCATAGAAGGAGCTGTCTTGCGAGGCACCACAGTGATCGCAAAAACCATTTGTCTTGCGGGTTTTTCGTCCCGCGAGGCGTTCATCTTGCGAGGCACCACTGTAGTGAATAAATCAGAGCCCTACGGATTAAGAGGGGAGGGTGTTAAGGAAGGGGCCCTTCTTCTCATACAAGCAGGAGTTCAGGCAGATTCCATTCAGCTTGGGTGAAAGTTGACTGTGATCAGTTCGCCAGGGTCAAGTACAAAATCCTGGGAAAACATTTGCTGTGAAATAAAAAACCAAAAAGGAAAAAAAAGAGTGAGGCTAGAACCCTCACTTGAGAAGGAATCAAAAATATTTTATAAAGGCTCGAATCTCTGTGCAGAGGGGTGAAGCGGTCACATTGTCCACTCCCCTGCGACAAAAAAGAATTTCCGTTAACTACAAACCCGTAGGCTTGAGATCTAATTTTACTTATGCTCCATTTTGTTCCACCGATCTCAGGTCCATTCTGTCACACAAAACTGTGTACCAAAACCTCACATGTGGGTGCATCATTAGTACATCCCACCCCCAAAAATCTAGTGTTGACCCTTCAAAACCTGCCCCAGACACATGGTTCAGTAATGTCCTGTGAAGCCCACGTTCCTTTCAATTGCACAAAAAATATACTGAAACATTAGAAGGTTGTCTGATCTCACTCCCCAAACTTGTGTCAAATGTTCGTACATCACAGAACATAATCAGAGCATGGATCTGAAAGGGGGGTATGTGAGATTACCAAGAAATAAGATGGACCGAGAACTCCCAGAAGTACAAGCTGGATTTTGAAGGGGCAGAGGAACTAGAGACCAAATTGCTAACATGCGCTGGATTATGGAGAAAGCCAGAGAGTTCCAGAAAAACATCTACTTCTGTTTCATTGACTACGCAAGAACCTTTGACTGTGTGGACCACAACAAACTATGGCAAGTTCTTCAAGAAATGGGAGTGCCTGACCACCTTGTCTATCTCCTGAGAAACCTATACGTGGGACAGGAAGCAACAGTTAGAACTGGATATGGAACAACTGATTGGTTCAAAATTGGGAAAACAGTACGACAAGGCTGTATACTGTCCCCCTGCTTATTTCACTTATATGCAAAATAAATCATGCGAAAGGCTGGACTGGATGAATCCGAAGCCAGAATTAAAATTACAGGATGAAATATCAACAACCTCCAGTATGCAGATGATACCACTCTGATGGCAGAAAGTGAGGAGGAATTAAGGAACGTTGTAATGAGGGTGAAAGAAGAGAATGCAGAAAATGATCTGAAGCTCAACATCAAAAAAACCCTAAGATCATGGCCACTAATCCCATCATTTCAAATAGAAGGGGAAAATATGGAGGCAGTGACAGATTTTACTTTCTTGAACTCCATGATCACTGCAGATGGCGACAGCAGCCACAAAATTAAAAGATGCCTGCTTCTTGGGAGGCAAGCGATGATAAACCTAGAGAGCATCTTAAAAAGCAGAGACATCACATTGCCAACAAAAGTCCGAATAGTCAAAGCTATGGTTTTTCCTGTAGTGATGTATGGAAGTGAGAGCTGGACCACAAAGAAGGCTGACCGCCAAAGAATTGATGCTTTTGAATTGTGGTGCTGGAGGAGACTCTTGAGAGTCCCCTGGACTGCAAGGAGATCACACCTATCCATTCTGAAGGAAATCAACCCTGAGTGCTCACTGGAAGGACAGATCCAAAGAGAACAAACCTATCCATTTTGAAAGAAATCAACCCTGAGTGTTCACTGGAAGGACAGATCCTGAAGCTGAGGCTCCAATACTTTGGCCATCTCATGAGAAGAGAAGACTCCCTGGAAAAAACCTTGATGTTGGGCAAGTGTGAAGGCAAGAGGAGAAGGGGATGACAGAGGATGAGGTGGTTGGACAGTGTCATCGAAGCGACCAACATGAATGTGACCAATCTCCGGGAGGCAGTGGAAGACAGGAGGGCCTGGTGTTCTCTGGTCCATGGGGTCACGAAGAGTCAGACACAACTTAACGACTAAAGAACAACATGTGAGATTATAGCTGAGCAGCTTAGTTATCTGTCTGTGGAGCCAGAGGCTGAGAGTTCAATTCCGCCACTGGGCCTCCTGGGAAAAGAGCCAGCCTGGGTGGCCTTGGACAAGCTGCAGTCCCAGAAATACCCCCAGAAGAAGGGAATGGGGAAGCACTTCTGAGTACAGTGGTGCCTCGCTTAACGCGCGTCCCGTTTAAAGACAAATCCAGATAGCGATTAGGTTTTTGCTATCGCAAAAGCGATCGCATATCGACGTTTTGAATGGTAAAAAATCGCTTTGCAATGATTGGTAAGCTGTTTCGCTTACCGATTTTCGCATAGCGATTTTTTCCAACAGCTGTTCAGCAGTTCAAAAATGGCCACCGGGAAAAAAATTGCCACCCGCTCTTTTTTGGGACGGATTCCTCGCTTACCAGGCAACGAAAATGGCTGCCGTATGGAGGATTTTCCCTTAAAGGTACGTTTTCCCCCATAGGAACACATTGAAGGGGTTTCAATGCGTTTCAATGGGGTTTTTAAAATCGCATAGTGATGTTTTCGGTTAGCGGTGATTTTTGCCGCACCAATTAACATTGCTATGCGAGGCACCACTGTATTCTGTACCAAGAAAACCCTGAAGAAGGTCACTATGAGCTAGTGTTGACTCTATTATTATATTATATGAGGTTTTAGGGTGCAGAGCTAAAACGGTTCTGACAGGAATCTGTTATAGTACTGACTTCTCTAAAAGAGGGAACTAATTAAGATTTAATCTCCACTACAGAGGAAAGACTACTTTGATCTTCTGTCTCTCTCAGATTTGCTGTTCTCTTATCCATTCATTCTATTTTTTCCCCTCAAGTCTGTCTCGCTACATGCTCATTTCTGGGATCATTTTGTCATTCATGTGCTACATTTTAAGACTTACTGGGATGCCAGGGAACATGTGGGGCTGACGAAGGTCACCCAGTATGGATGGACTTATATACTAACACACCTGACCTCTCCTTTCAGGGCAAAACATTGCTTTAGTTCATCAAACAGGCTAGTCGACATTATATTTTGTGTTCTTCTCAAATCCCATAAACCAATCAGGATACAGGTGTTCTCTGTGAATCATACTGCGAACCACTGTGGATTCTGTGGGATTCTTAAGAATTTCCAGATTCTGATAATTTAAACGGTTTCACAGTAAGGCTGCTCTACCCGAAGCTTTTTCCCCCCGTTCTAAGCATTTATGTCATTTCCATGACTACATGAGATCGCTGATGTTTAGAAAGGCTGTGGTTCCACCTGAAACTCTTTCCACACTCTGTGCATTTATAGGGTTTCTCTCCCTTGTGTGTTCTTTGATGGGAGGAAAGGTTACTGCTCTGCCTGAAGTTTTTCCCACACTCTGAGCATTTGTACGGTTTCTCGCCTGTGTGGGTTCTTTCGTGGGCAGCCAGGTCTCGGCTCTGCCTGAAGCTCTTCCCACACTCCGAGCATTTATACGGCTTCTCTCCGATGTGGCTTTTTTCGTGGGCAGCCAGGTCTCGGCTCTGCCTGAAGTTTTTCCCGCATTCGGAGCACGTGTACACCTTCTCTCCTCTGTGGGTCCTTTGATGGTCAGCCAGGCTGCCGCTGTGGCCAAAGCTCCTTCCACACTCCAAGCATTTATAGGGTTTCTCCCCTGTGTGAGTTCGCTGGTGGTTACCGAGGGTACTGCTCTGCCTGAAGCTTTTCCCACACTCCAAGCATTTATAGGGTTTCTCCCCCGTGTGGGTTCTCTGGTGCTCCACGAGATGCTGGCTTTGCCTGAAGCTTTTCCCACACTCCAAGCATTTGTAGGGCTTCTCCCCCGTGTGCGTTCTTTCATGGTACGCGAGGCCGCATCTCTCCCTGAAGCTCTTCCCACACTCCGAACACTTGTAAGGCTTTTCTCCCGTATGGGTTCCTTGATGTTTCATCAGGCTACTGTACTGACCAAAGCTTTTCCCGCACTCTGCGCAGATGAAACATTTCCCTCCGGTGTGGGTCCTTTCATGTAAAATGGCATGGACCTTCCACCTGAAATTCTTTCCGCACTCCGAGCACTTGAATGGCTTCCTCGTTTCATGAACTCGTATAGCTACGTTACTACTTGATACGCCAGATATGTTTTTTGCCAGCTGGGGTGATGCTTTCCGGTCCTTTCCAAGGCTAAATGCTTCAAGCGGTGGGGTTTCACGAGAGGCTAAATCTTGAGAAATCTTGAGAAGTTTCTTCTTCTCCATAGGTTTGGATTCAGGTTTTCTCCCCGAGGGCTCATTCTTTCCATCACAGTCCTTCACACCATCTGGAGGAATAAGACGAGGAAAATTATTTGAGAGGAAAGTGACCCTGGAGGAAGGAATCAATGGAAGAAATCCAGTTAGAAGGAGTACTTGACATCTTCCTCTTCCATGGTGGGAATGGGCTCCTTCCTCCCCTCAGGGAAGCCATTTCAAACAACTGTTTCTTGAAAAAGGAGAAAAGAAAATAAACCACTGCCATCACACCCGCCCTTTTAAATGTCATCGTAAACTCTTTCAATGACCTTTTGGCTGAAATCCTGTTGCGTAACGTACATCTCCAGAACAGTGATGATGTCCCAGAGGTTGGGAATTCAATTCCCCACTGGCCTCACAGGTGAAGAGCCAGCCTGTGTAGTCTTGGACAAGCTACACAGTCTCCAAAACACCCCCAGAAGAAGGGGAGGGCAAACCAATTCTATGTATTCTCTATTTGGAAACCCAGACAAAAAGAGTCACTATTTCTCAGAATTGACTTGGCGGCACGATTTTTAAAAATAAAGGTTAATTAATATTTTTATGGTGGGACCTGGTGGCGCTGCGGGTTAAACTTCAGAAGCCTCTGTGCTGCAAGGTCAGAAGACCAGCAGTCGTAAGATCAAATCCACGGGACAGAGTGAGCTCCCGTTGCTTGTCCCAGCTCCTGCCAACCTAGCAGTTCGAAAGCATGTAAAAATGTGAGTAGATAAATAGGTACCACCTTGGTGGGAAGGTAATGGCGCTCCGTGTCAAGTCACGGGGGCCACGTGACCACGGAAACTGCCTTCGGACAAACGCCGGCTCTGCAGCTTGGAAACAGGGATGAGCACCGCCCCCTAGAGTCGGACACGACTGGACTAAATGTCAAGGGGAACCTTTAACTTGAACTAATATTTTTAAAGTAAAATATTTATTATAGCCATTCTTAAAAAAAAACTTGGCCTGTTAAAAATGCCAACTAACAAGAGCAGCTCCTGAATCAACATACAGTAATTTCTCAACCGAAGTCCTCTTTATACTCACGATAAGAACAAAACCAAGCAATGGATTCAGTTGTAAGAGCTTTTTCTTAAACAGACCTGTATGTAAGAGACGGCACTTGACTTCCTGAACCCTAAAAGGGTTTATATTCGGCAGTAAAGCACCAAAGACACCAAATATTTCCTAGCCAATCACCATAACAGGAGCCTTACCCAACGGGGTCGCATCGGCAGGATCCTCCTCCATGGGGTCACCGTGCAGAGAGTTCTGGTCTGGATCCATCACAGTCCACTCCTCTTCTGTGAAATTCATAGCTACCTCCTCATTGGTCTCCAGATCCTGAAATAAGAAAATATCCAGTGGATTTCAATCCTTTGTGTCATCAAAAGCTTCTTGTAGAACTGAAAAGGTGCAGAAAAGGGCCATAAAGGAAATCAAGGAGGTTTCCCGCATGGAGAAATTTATTTTTGTACTTGCGAAGGCTTTCACGGCCTGGATCTAATGGTTGTTGTGGGTTTTTCAGGCTCTTTGGCCGTGTTCTGATGGTTGTTCTTCCTAACATTTCACCAGTCTCTGTGGCCGGCATCTTCAGAGGACAGCACTCCAGAAAGACTGGTGAAACGTTAGGAAGGCCAACCTTCAGAACACGGCCAAAGAGCCCGAAAAACCCACAACAACCAAATTTACTTTTATTTAAAATATTTTTTTACCCTGCCTTTCTCCTTAAAACGACCCAAGGCAGCTTATAACAGTTAAAATACGATACTTAAAAGCTAAAAGCAGTATGTATACAAATATTTTTTAAAAGAAATTGAACAAGTATTATATTAAGAACAGTCCATAAGCAACGCTAAAACATTTAAAAGCTACAGAGAACAATAACCCATTTAAAAATGAAAGCATTTGTGCCTTTGGTTTAAAAAAAAACAACAGAAAGCTCATCACCATCATCTTAGAACTGCAGAGCTGGAAGGGACCTTAGGGGATCATCACGTCCAGCCCCTGTCAAGGTGGCCCAGTGGAGGGAATCGAACTCCCAACCTTTGGCTCCACAGCCAGCGACCTAAACCACTGATCTATACAGACAATAAATAAGCTGGTGATTACTGGAGCACATGATAGCAGAGTATAAAATCAGGTGTGATGCAGAGAAATAGGAGGGGAAGACTTTTTTTTCTGTTTTTCTTTCTTGCTAGAAGCCAGAGCGACCCAGCAAAGACAAGAGCGGCGCATTTAAGATAAGCAAAAAAAGGGGGGGGACCTCATCAGGCTCCAGGAAAGGGAAAGAAAGGAAGCAGGGATTCAGCCCATGCTCTTTGGTTTTCCCTCTTCATTCGCTGTCTTCCAGCAGCAGCAGCCTCTTCATAAGCCCAAGGCACAGGAGCTGACAGAAAGCAGGGGCCATTTCCAGAGACTGGCCTGAAGGCCACCAACGCTTTACGGCTTCCACTCCTTGACGCATTCCGAGTAAGGACTATACAACTTGGAAGAGCTGAGTTTGTCTGCTGGTTTCGACTCCTCCTGGAACACTAGCTAGCTGGCTGGATAGCTCAGTGGTTGAGGTACCTGACCGTGGAGCCAGAGGCTTGGAATTCAATTCCTCCCACTGGGCTTCCTGGGGAGAAGAGCCAGCCTGGGTGGCCTTGGGGAAGCTGCACAGTCCCAGGGCTCCCCCTAGAGGAAGGGAAGGGGAAACCACTTCTGAGTGTTCTCTACCTTGGTGTTTTCCAACCTTGGGTCACCCAGATGTCCTTGGACGACAACAACCAGCAATCCTGGCTAGCACAGCGAGTGGGGGAAGGCTTCTGGGAGTTTTAGACCAAGAACATCCAGGGACCCAAACTTGATCTACCTGCAAAACCCTGAAAGTCCAAATTGACTTGGAAGCACGTGGTTATTATATTATTCCTAGTCGCTTTTTTCCTTTTTACATTGTGGAGTACAAGCCTTAGGACAGCGGGTATCCGACGACGGACACTTGTTAGTCGCTTCGGGAGCCTTATCTGATAAACGCCAATGAATATTAAAAATGCCTTTAGATAGATATTGCTAGCATGTGGCATCCACTGCTAAACATTGCGCTGACCACCACCGGCAAACAGGAATTCAAGGAGAGTGGCCAAAATCCGGGACCATAAATGCACCAGCAGCTACCAGCCATGATCTACAGCAGTGGTTCCCAACCTTGCGTTCCCCCAGATGTTCTTGGACTGCAACTCCCAAAAATCCTGGCCAGCACAGCTGGTGGTAAAGGCTGCTGGGAGCTTTAGTCCAAGAATATCTGGGGATCCAAAGTCAGGAACCATTGGTCTACAGCATTCCTTCAAACCAGGGGTCCTCAACCCCCGATCCGTGGTCCAGTGCCAGTCCGTGGCCTTCCTGGAACTGGGTTGCAGATATGGATCTCTGCGCCCCCCCAGATACATGCGGGGTGGGCGTGTCACGCTCATGCAGGGGGCGTGTTGCGCCCGTGGTGGGCATGTCACACTCGTGCACATGTGCATGAGCGCACCACACTCATCGTGCAAGCATGACGTGCCCCCCACCTCTCCCCATGCATGAAGCTTGCTCCCCCCAGCCGGTCCACAGCCCCAAAAAGGTTGGGGACCGCTACTTTAAATCTTTGTAGCTGAGGAACAACAGGAGGATTCCAGTTCACACGTCCTGTTTTTGAGCAAAAGACCCTCATGGTCATTTGCTCGAATCTAGCAGTCCTGCTTTCCATTTCCTCCCAGGGAATGGAGGGAACCCTGTCCCAGAATTCTCCTCCCATTTTTCTTCCTTTCCTACCTGATCTGTCCGGATGCCCGTCTTCTCTGCCACTGCAGGAGACCCTCTCGAACAAGGCCGTAGGCTCATCCCATCACCTACAAGGGAGACAGAGGTCATGAGTAAGATACCTACACGTTTATTTATTTATTTATTAAACTTATGTACTGCCCATTTAGACATAGTCTACTCTGGGCGGCTCACAAAACACAGAGTAAAAACAATTAAAATATAATGACAATTTGCAACATTTACACAATAGACGATAGTTAAAAATAGAGGAAGAGAAGAGGTAAGTTAAGTAAAGTTTCAAAAACATTTTCAAAATCCGTTCATGAACAGAAATCAATTCATCCTCATCAGGGACTGAAAGAAGCCTATGGAGAAAAAGTTGTAAAAATTCAATCATGTTAATCTATGTAAATGTAGACTTAGGGGAAGATACAACCAAACCCTGCAAATATTTATTTTCTTATTTGTTTGATTAGCCACCTTTTCTCCTGAAAAGGGGACCCCAAGGTGGCTCACAATATTAAAAATAGAATTTAAAACACTAATTAAAATACAATTAATTAAAAGCAAGTAAACATTAAACACTATTTTAACTTTTAAAAGTTAACTTTAAATCTATATTTTAAAGAAAAGGCAAAGACCTGCTCTTTCTCATCCCAGATGAAAGGTTACATGTCAAAGATCTGTGTCAAGGATAAAACTTCATTTGATTGAACATCAGGAGAAATTTATTGATGGTAAGAGTAGCCTGACAACAGAACCAACCATTCCTGGTGAATTTCCTTATTTCAAGATCTTCCATTCAAACAAACTAAGAGGGAAATTCTTGATTTAGATTTCTCAGACTAAGCATGGATTTGGACCAGAGAGCAACAAGATCCTCCACACCACTGCTTAATTTTTTGGTTTATTAAAAATATTTTTTACCCTGCCTTTCTCCTACAGCTCAGTGTTTTCTGAAAGCGAGCAAAATGGCTTAAGGATGAAAGTTCTCCATGGAGCTTTTCTGGGGCTGGGAATTCAGATCAAGAAATACCGGATCTATTTCCAAAAACAGAAAATTGTCCCTAGTTGGAATGGTGCTCTGCTTCCAACAACTGGAAAATCTATATAAATAAATAAATAAATATACGGAACCATCTGCTGTCCAGCTACATCCAAGGGGCTTCAGGCATTCCATGTGGACTCAAGAGAAGGAGCCCAAGCTACAAAGACACACGGATACACCCCCCCCACACACACACACACAAAACCACTTACGTGGAGAGGTGGCACCTCCACTGCTGTTCAGCACAATCCACCTGAAAGGGGTCTTCTGTGGTGTGCCCAGTGGAGACTTCTCTTCCTCCGGAAAGTGATCAGCTGCTTTGCCATACACTGCCTTCACCTGAAAGAAAAGTGGCCGAAAGTTGAAAAAGAAAAAAAAATCAGGCAAGGCCAAATTCATTGAAAGAATAATGTTGGTCATTCTTTTCCCTTCTCAGCCCATTTGAAGATGTTGGTGCTCAGTAACTGGGACTCCGTTAGGTTAATAGGGTCAAATATGCCAGTGGGAGAAGTACTTTCTGGATATGAAAAAGGACTGGGCTTTTTGCACGCTGGCAGCCTGACTCCATAATAAACCCTCTCCCCTACAGAAAGTGTGCCTGGTAATAATGTCACAGTATTTTCAGAATATTGTATTTATCAAGACAATATTCATATTTGCTCAGGACGTTCAACTAGATGTTCTTTGAACATCCTGTTCAGGCCATCTGGGATTTTATAAAATTAAATTTAAAGCGGGAGAGGAGGAAATCGTTCAAGCCAGAAAGTCCCAAACACCTGTCTGTAACTTCTGTAAGTAACACAGGTTTTTTTTGGGGGGGAGGGAGTAGCAAGGTCTCACTCTCTAACCTCAAAAGACAAGGCTTTCGCTGCACCTTGTTCCTGCAAAATTCACCAAAACCTCATTGTTGACATAAACATTTGAGACAGCCCTCTGGATAATTTCTAGAATACAACTGCAATCGCAAAATGATGGTCTGAATGGGGGAAGTTCGCTTTGCGATGATCGGTTCCCTGCTTCGGGAACCGATTCTTCACAAAACGACGTTTTTTGAACAGCTGATCGGCGGTTTCAAAATTCCCCCCCCGCTGTTTTCTAGGGACGGATTCCTCGCTATACAGGCAGCGAAAATGGCCGCCGTATGGAGGATCTTCGCTGGACAGTGAGTTTTTACCCCACTGGAACGCATTGAACGGGTTTCAATGCGTTTCAATGGGGTCTTTATTTTCGCTTTACGATGTTTTTGCTTAACGGCGATTTTCCTGGAATGGATTATCGTCGTTAAGTGAGGCACCACTGTATATCAGGTAGCCCCTGATAATTATGTAATTATCAAGAAGACGAGTTCTCACCGGCGTGGCTTCCTGCTTCTTCTCCTCTGCCTGGCTCAGGAGGAACTCTTCAGCCAGGGTCACCGCCTCAGAAGTGGTCTCTGCCCCACACTCCCTGACCCAGCTCTCCATCTCTGGGGGCAGGATGGTCAGGAACTGTTCCAAGACCACCAGATCCAGGATTTGAGACTTTGTGTGCCTTTCTGGCGTCAGCCACTGAAGACAGAGGTCATGGAGCCGGCTGCAAACCTCCCTGGGTCCCTCTGCTTCCAGGTAGGAGAACTCCCTGAAGCGCTGGTGTGGCATGTCTGAATCACCCATTTCTGCGCTCAACTTCTGCTTAGTTCCTTCCCCAAAGTCTCTAGAGCTTCCTGCATCCGTGGCATCAGAGCCTTCTGCTGCTGGTCCAGGAACAGCCGGATTTTCCTCTTCTATTTTTGATCTGTCACCCAGCTCAGCCTCCATCAGGGCTCAAAACAGCTCCTTATTCAGGTCCCGATTTATTTCTTAAGGTAAGGATAGGCTGAAAGGTAGGGTTGGTGTGGAATCCAAGTTAGCATCATCCACAAGCCCCTTCGGTCTGTATCAATTTCATTTACTAAGCGGGACAATTATTCACAAATGACAACGGATCATTTTCTTTTTTTCCTGAAAGGAAGAACAGTTAAATCTTTTTTTTAAAAAAAGCAACAACACTATGAACCCTAAAAATTTCCCTATTCCCCAAACAATAATCTGTGATCCATTCCCAATCTCCTTTTCTTCTGTTCCTCTGAAGATAAAAACTCTCTTGAAATGGGTTCCAGTTTGGGCAAATGTACAAAAAAGAAATTTGCAGGTTAACAGAACAGAGAGGTTGGGGGGGAAGAGAATGAGACACTTTTTTAAAAGATGGATTTTAAAAATGATAAATGGGTGTGTTGTGCAGGGTCTGAGATGGGCCAGTGGGGCAACCTTCCTTTTTCTGTAGGGATCTGAAGGGAAGTGAAGGAGAGCCTTTTTGCACCTCCGCTTCTGCTCCACTTCAGTTCTGCAAATGTAAACAGGTTTGACTCCACTTTTTCACATCCACTGTGAACAGGCCTGCATTCTGTTCCAGAACTATTTCAGGAGTCTCCTGGGTTAGTAGATAAGATAGAGAGACAGACCATAATGGGGACAGCTGTGGGGAAAGTTGCCCCCTTAAGTGCCTAAATCCCAAGCTCTTTTCATTCAGTGCAACACACACACCCCTTTCTCCTCTGCTCTGGATTCCTTTCCTACCTAATTAATTTCCTACATAATAATTATGTCCTGTCAAATCGGTTCCAATTTATAGTGACCTTTTCCAGAATTCTCTAGGTACAGAGTGCTCAGAAGTGGTTTTACTAAGCGAGTTGGGTGCAGATCCTGAGGTCAGGGGTTCGATTCCACCCTTTGCCTCCCAGGAGCGTGCCAGCCTGTGTCATCTCGGGCAAGTTGCACAGCCCCTCAGTGCCCACTTTAAAGCACTACATACCTAGAAAACCTTGAAATGGGTTGCCATAAATACGAATCGGCAACATGTCAACGCCGGAGCAACTTCTCCACGCTCAGGTTTTGGAGGGATGGGTCGCCGGTGCTTCAAGAAATTGGGGGTGTGGAGGTGGGGGTTTGTTGACCCTTTGGAAGTGAGAGAGAAAATGTG